ACACACAAAGTACAGATAAATAAAAGAAGAAGGAATAAAAATCCTTAAAATCACAGTTAAAGTTAAAAAGTGCTTGTCATAAATACTTTTGCCTTCATGTGGCTTACGTACTGTGTGTGTTCTTGTTCTAGCTGACCTATTTGACATCCTGCTGCCGATGCTAAACATCTACCAGGAGTTTGTGCGTAACCATCAGTACAGCCTGCAGGTTTTGGCCAACTGTAAGCAGAACAGAGACTTTGACAAGCTGCTAAAGCAGTACGAGTCCAATGCTGCCTGTGAGGGGAGGATGCTCGAGACCTTTCTCACATACCCCATGTTCCAGGTAGATAACGAGCACCAGCATCCTCTTATTCACAAACAAACCGTAACATGACTCCAACATGTGTGTTTTTCTCAATTCTTGTCTCCATGTGCTATTGTGCTCTTTCCTTCAACAAGATTCCTCGTTACATCATCACCTTGCATGAATTACTGGCTCACACCCCTCATGAGCATGTGGAGCGCAAGAGTCTTGAATTTGCCAAGTCCAAATTAGAGGAATTGTCCAGGTATGTGTCAGAGTCGTCTACTTCTATTAAAATTCTTGTTGTTGAATCCTGAACAAACTTGTGTGTTTGTGTGCGTGGCCAGAGTAATGCACGATGAGGTGAGCGACACAGAAAACATCCGTAAGAACCTGGCTATAGAACGGATGATTGTGGAAGGTTGTGACATCCTGCTGGACACCAGCCAGACATTCGTCAGACAGGGTGAGTCTTCATCAGTGCAGAGCAAACCTCGACGACAGCAAATCTTTGAAGGTTTCCTGGATAGTAAGAAATTCCTTTTCTGTCAACTCGTTATCAGTAACTCAGTGAAGTTGGAAATCTTTCATTGTCTCATGGCCTTGGCTATCTGGCAAGGTTTGTCTCTCTGTCAGCTTTTCCAGTTAAAATGTAGATGTGGTACTGAATGGTACATATTTTTCTGAGCATTAGAAAGTAACAAGACTGTCTGGACCAAGGGTGGGAAATTAATCTTCCCAAGGGGCTAAGCAAGAACAGACTGTGACTGGTTGGACGGCTGCACCAAGAAGGCCCCTTGGGATAATAATTGGCCACCCCTGGTCTAGACTGTTTGACTGCTAAAGAAGTCTTAATGAATTATTAACTAAGTGTTATACTGTGTATGATTCCTTTAAGTCACATCTCACCTACATGATGCACTTAGACCATGACCACAGTTTTCCCCACTGCGCAGACAAATAGATTGGTCAATATCACCTGTGTAGGCTACAGTCATGAGAAAAAGAAAGGTTTCACAGGACTCTATGTACAGTCCTGTGAAAAATGTAGTACACCTTTTCTGCTTCAGTGGGAATTAAGAGGGTAAATAACAGCCAAACGCTACCTCTGTAACTGCAGAAAACGTGCCAGTTTGCTGGTCTGGAGCATTCAGGTTTATGTTGCCACAGTCTTCCCAGGAGTGGACCTCCCTGCAAATTCGTCCCAAGGTCAGACTGTGCAATTCTCAGAGTAGTTGTGGAAAACCAAACACAGCATATCAGCACCAAGACCTCATACCAACCATGACCATTGTGGTGAGGGGGTGATGATTTGGGTTTGTTTTGCAGCCACAGGACCTGGGTGTATTCTAGAGTAAGAAATAAGAGTTTAATAGAAATCTTAATACTGTTGAAGTGACATATCTGCATTCATCTATGGATATTAGAACTATTACTGTGACTTAATATGTAATCTTGCTTCTGTTACAGTTAAATCCTTTTAATCAAAATTATGCAGATAAAGTCGGATGCAATTTTCCACTTAAATTGTGCATTTTTGGGTCATAATACCTGCTAGTACAGGAGGTGGAAGACAAATGTCAAGTTTCCTTACAAATGCGCTGTAGAGGAGACAGAGATTTTTCTCCTGCAGCTGAATCACACATCACAAAATGCAGCCCTGATGCCAGTTTTGACAGTGCACTTTACTGATCCATGGTTCCTGTCTGCTTTTAATCTACAGAGACTAACTTTTCCCTCTAAACCTGCCTGTTTCAAAGATCGACTCCTTTTTTTAATCTCATTCGCTGTCATGTTGAGACACTTAACAGCATTTTTTCATGTCTATGTTTGTGGCATTGTAAATGCTACACATCCCTCAGCTTACTGTCGGTTTCATCAAATGTAACATCCTGCGTGTCTCCCGCTCCACAGGGTCTCTGATCCAGCTGCCATCGGTAGAGCGAGGGAAACTAAGCAAAGTCCGCCTGGGCTCCCTCTCTCTGAAGAAGGAAGGGGAAAGGCAGTGTTTTCTCTTTACCAAACACTTCCTTGTTTGCACACGCAGCTCTGGGGGAAAACTTCACCTTCTCAAGGTGAGAACAGGGTTACCCTTCCAGTGTATCTATACCTCAGCAAAGACATTTTTTTTGTAAATCAACATTCATTTTCATCCAAATTACCAATAAATAGTTGTGCATATTTTCTCTTAAACTATTGCAGCAAGGTGGAGTTTTGTCCCTTATTGACTGCACACTTATTGAGGAACCAGACGCTAATGATGAAGAGTGTAAGTATATCGCATCAATCAAGTACTATGTCCATCCTATCAATACATGCACAGCTCATGGCTCATTTAGTTCCCTTACCACTCACTGAGGTTAATTAGGTGTCATGTGATAAGTGCCTGTGACTTCCCTTTAATTATCAAACGCTCACCCCTTTAAATGTCAGGTTTAGATCTTTTAACATTACAGATCCATTATTTTTTTTATTTTTTCATTTTGCAATTAGGGAGTCTGATGAAACATCTACACGCAAAAAGTGTTGAGACAAACACATACATGTGTACACTTCATTTTTACACCCAAGCCTCAGGGGGGTGTAGAGGGAATATAGCAGGTCTGCCTAATTAACCCTCTGTGTGTATGTGTGTGTAAAATATGACTGTGTATGTGCAAGCATTTTATTTTTACAGTAATTATGAATAACTGATTGTTGTAATTTAAAAAGCTCATTGTTTTTCATCAGCAAAAGCTGGTGGTCAGGTGTTTGGTCAGCTGGACTTTAAGCTTGTCGTAGAGCCGTCAGACTCGTCTTCTTTTACTGTGGTGTTGCTGGCGCCGTCACGACAGGAGAAAGCTGCCTGGACTAGTGATATTAGCCAGGTACTACATAAATCATGCAAATATACACCCAGACAAAGACAAAAAACAAGGACCTTCAAATAACGAGGGCATGTCTCCGGTGGGCATTGAGATGGCTTAGTAAACACAGACTGTGGTGCAGTTCCCCAGGGCCGAGTTCAGCTCAGTGCCTCAGTACTTCACAAACAGGGTAACACCAAACAAGCATGTCATTCTGCATTAATTCTAGTCAGGCACAAAAAAAAAAACAAATACACTGACAGTTTTAAATAACTTCCTTTTTTTAGTGCCTTATCAACAAGACTTGTGAAACAGTGTCAAAGACTGTGCTGTATTTACTTTTAATAAAAAGGAAGAAAACAGATGTTCAGTACGAGATTATTTTAGAATAGATCTGGAACACTTATCGGCTTTAAATGCTGTAGCTTAAAAAATACATGATAATAATTATATATGTAATTCTCTTTCTTTTTCATTTGCTCATCTCGCTACTCTCGTCTCTCTGTCTCTGCAGTGCATAGATAATATTCGCTGTAATGGCTTGATGACCAGTGTGTTTGAGGAAAACTCAAAAGTCACAGTGCCTTATATGATCAAGTAAGTATTTTTGTGTGTGTGAAGAGGAAGCTATCTCTTCATGCCACGCACGTGTCACAGAACATAAGCTGTGATGGCACATCTGGTTAAAAATATGTTTTTTTTATGCTTGTTTCCTTTTA